GACATTATTATAGTTGTATATAATAATAATATATAAGAAGGGGAAGTTTGTTGTTAATCCTGGCATATAATTCTTGTTGTAGATATACGATTTTGTCAGCCTTTTTTAAAATTGTATGTTTATGCTATATTTATTATTGATTTATATTTTTGTTTTTTTAATATCTAAGAATTTGTTCACCCATGACTATGTGTATATGTTCACAACCTAGTGTGGAAACTGTTGGACAATAAACGATATTATTATTATTATTATCATTACACATTTTCACAATATAGAATTTATTGCCAATACACGTTTCATTACAACAGTAGCCTCCTCAGTTTGACTGGAACTCTAATTTACAATACAATTTATACAAATCATCAACATTAATCGAAAGAGGTTACTAAGTACTGGTTGTTATAAAGACAGGTAGACAGCATATACAAAGCAGGTACTAATGCTAGTAATTTTTTCATGAAAATAAATTTATGAGTGGTAAGAGATTAACTTGCGGTCGTTCAATAGAAACCGCGATTGTCAACGTTTATTAATTTTCAGGAATTCTAGCAGAGTAAATTTTTGTCGTTTATTTTCTGTATGTAGTAAGTTGTAGTTTATGACGATGTCATGTTTTTTTCTAACAGATTGCATGAATAGGTTGAATGTTTTTTTTAATTTATAATGTTCTTCCAATATAAAATCTTGGACAAGAGCCATATTTTACATAGTAGACACCCAATTTTTTGTCCTTGTCGATATGGGAGTTATTATTTTTAATATATCTACCTGAGGTGTAAGCTATGTTGATTTTTTGTTCAGTTAGTAGTTTACTTGTCTTTAATGATGCCCTGGCAGTTTGTGAGAGTTTTGAAAATGTTTTTATTACCTTTGATGCGTGGGTTTTAGTCGAGGATGTGATGAATTCAAGTTGTTATTTACTGCCATCTGTTTCATCAAATTTAGTTCTTTTTCAAAATTCTCTGTTGACATAGTCTGTTGTCTGTGGATCATGCTGTGGTAAACTGCTAGTTTATGTTGAAATAGATAATTAGAATGGTTGTTAATATTTGTGTCTGTATGGGTTGGTTTGTGGTAAATTTCGAAATCATGTTTGTTGTTATTTTTTGTGATTGTCTCAGGTCTTGAAAGTTTATCGAATTGTTGGTTTCAAGTTCTATTGTGATTATGTTTTGGTGAAGGAATTTATATATTGGAGGAATGGCTGTAATTGTCGATATGTCCCTGTGAAACAGGCCTAATTGTCGTCTACGTATCTGTACCAATAAATGAAGTTTTTGAAATTGTTATCAAACATTTTTTCAAAGTTGTCCATTAAAATTTCAGCTGGTGAGGGACTTAGAGGATTACCCATTATGAGGCCTTCTTTATTGTTGTATATGATGCTATTGAATTCAAAATCATTTTGGTTTGTATAAAGTTAGAAAATTAATAAATAAAATGTTCGAGTTGCTCATTTCATATCATCAAAATGATGCTATTTTGAAACTCTTTCATGAATATCTTCAACTTTTTCAGGGGGACTACATAAGACATCCTGTCTTATACGAACTTTCCCACAAATATGGCCTGCTCACGGAAAACCTTGTTGAATCTCAGCTGCCAAGCAAACTGGAGGAGCTGAAGGAAATAATAAGGCGGGAAATAAGGAAGGAACTAAAGATCAAAGAGGGAGCCGAGAAGTTGAGAGGGGTCTCGACTGACCGAAAGTCACTAAGTCATGTGGCTACAATAGTGAAAAATTCTAACTTCAAACTGACCGAGCTGAAAAATGAACTCAGTGAACTAGAATCCCAAATTATCCTTTCCCAAGGACAAAGTTCTCTCAATTGTGTGCCATCCAATGGAGGTGAGATATGTCATTATTGTGAAAAATATTAGTTTTTTCAAGAAGATATTTGAAGGTTTTTGGAAAAAAATGCTTTTTTTCACCGTTTTTCCTCTCCATCTTTAGAATGGGTATTCGTATAAATACAATGTTTACATGAAAATAGTTCTTCTTTTTTGGAAGTTTCTCACGATTTTTGTATAAAGATGAAGAGAAAGCCAATAATATGTTTTCCTAAAAAACTAGTAACTCCTAAATTATTGACCCCTTTCAATTTAAAAAATTAACAGTGTATGATCAACAGAAGTAATGCATATCCTTTTAAATAAAACTAGCGCCCAAAACATTTGTGATCTAACATCAGGCAGCTTTGTTAGATCTTATTAGCAGCGTTAGAATGAACCACAAATGCATTGTTGGACTCAACTGTCCTTGAAAAACAAGCCTCAGTATAAGTAAGCATAGACATCCCTCCTTACATTGTTCATCCAAGATAAACAAGGGCCTTCTCAGTGGTCTCTTGCAAAGTCAAGCTTCCACGTCGACCGCTGAATGAGATATGGGTCCATCTAGTTGCCATGCATTGAAAGCTGCAGAGACTGGAGATGATTTCTTGTTCGGTGGTCGATGTCGAAGCTTGACTTGACTGTAGGGTACCTTGTTTTTCCTAGATAATTGGGGTTTGAGTATTCTGTTGATCTCATATATGTTGTCTATGTTCTACACAACCGTGGTCTATCATTTCGGATTTTGTTCTTTTCAATACTGGTATATTTCCAATGTATGATGGAAAGTTTTTTCCCCTATTATTTAAATTATGTTCAACAACATTTTTGAAAGACATTGAATAAAGAACTGAATTATGAAGGAAAATGGCTGTACCACCATATGAAAAACTACTTCTGCAAAAAATAGAAGCAACTGTGCAATCAGGAATTACTAATGGCTCACCATTTTTGAGTGTCAGGAAAACAACTCAAGGGCATTTCTGGTTTGCTAGGAATATGTACAGTTCGTCCATTTCGTTTCGAATTGATTGTATATTTAAACACGAGTAGGTTAGATGTGACTCATCAGTGATGAGTTACTTATCTATAAAAAAGAGGCATTATTGTTATTTGGTAGTGAAACAACATGAGTTGTTATAGTGTCTGAAAGATGATATAATCTTTACCAGTAGGTTGCGTAGCTCTGTCTTCCGTTTGGTCAACCATATTGAGACTGGAGAATTGATCTTTATGTGATTCATTATCTTCCTTGCTAAGAATCTTTTTCCTATACCATTGATGACTTGACCATTTTTAAAAAAGTTATTCTTTCTCAGTACAGAATTACAATAAATCATATGTAAGGATTTAATTTGGCTTAAATGCAGTTCCCTGCACACAGAAAGATTATTGTAATACACATTCATGTTGTGTTGTTTACTATACAGATATAGTTGTGTAATAAAGACTGGACAGCTCATCGACCATTTCCATCAACTCATTATCTGCAGCTTTTAATTATTGCTTCTATCGTGTATTGTCCTGTCCACTTCAATAGTGAAGAAGCTTTTTTTTTCGTGGAAGCCTGCCACAATCACAGTTTTAGGTTTTGAAAAATCTGGTTTCATTCTCTGATGTGTTTTATAATTACATGGAATTTCTTCGATTTTTCTGATACCATCCTTGTATTTTGTTGGCTCAGTTCCAATCGTTTTCTTGGATGGTGACTTCATGAGCCGAGCATGACCTGGTGACTTGATGAGTTTCTTAAAAGTTCAGTTGTTTCAAGTAAAGTTTTTTCCAGTTGTCGGCACGTCATTTCAAGTCATCATAGCTTTGTTTAAGCATGAAATTAAACTCTTGTTCACATTTTCCATTGTTGGTGGTCAGTTCTTCTTTTTTCCTAGCAAAGTGTTTGTTTTCAATATTGCTGATTCAAGTTCTTTTAGCAGGTCATTGTTTCTTAGTGTAATTCTAGTTGTCTAGTCATTCGTAAGCCGAGTTATGAGCACATTTTTGTGATTTATTTCAGAAACAAAATTTTCCTCTGCGTTTACAGCTTCATCACAAAAGTCAGACGTTGAATGTTAGAATATTTTCCTTCCTGGCTTTTTTCTAAGGTTTCTATTTCTAATTCTTTTTCTAGTAGATTTTTTCCAGAAGTATTTTTTTTTCTCTAAGGCATGCAGATTTTCCTTTTTGATTTATTCTTGTATCTCGAGAAAAAAACAGGTATAAAGTTGCATCAATTATAACTGATTTTCACTATCACACCTGAGGTACAAGTCAGAATGAAATACCACTTGGTCAGATCACAGCTGAGAATATTCCACCCAACTACATATAAATTTCATCTTTGAATTCGGCGCATTAACCAAGAAATTTTGCCTTAAATATACAAATAAATAAATTACACACAGTATGGTAGTATGCTTGCTTAAGTAATTATTTCCAATGATGAAACTGTTAATGCAGTACAAATACTCCAAAATTCACCTCGACACATGCACCCTATTGATAACTATAAAAAAACGTGGCTGGACAGTTGTGACAACACAGGCTCCTAATTCTAGCTCCACTGTTGGTTCAATTTGACGAATGCAATTTTTAAATCAATTATAAAGCTGGATAAATAAATAATCATAAATGAATTAATATTTTTAATCAAAAGAAATATTCAAGTTTTCCCAATTAAGTCAACTTCAATAATCTTGAATTGGGAGAGATTAATGTTTCGGAAATGAGGGTTTTGACTTTCTACTTATCCGTCTTTATACAAAAAAAATGTGGGAATCTTCCAAAGAATGAAAGAAAGAAAATAATACCAAAATAAACTCTTTACAAAGATGTGTAGATAATACAAAGAAGTAACTTTCAGACACAAACTGGGAGAAAAAACCCTCTCGAAACAACTACTTTCATATGAACATTGAATTACAGGAAAGAAACAATACTTTCAAAACCACTACATCGAATTATACAACTATACACACAGGATTGCTACAGAATATATACTATATTGTATATTGTGTAGCAATCTGATTCAATTCCTTTACAAATGTTTGGAGTATGAACTGAATAGGAAAGTGTTTTTTATATAATTCAATGTTCATATAAAAGTAGTTGTTTCAAAACTATTTTGTCTTTCGTGTAATTCAAAGTTTATATAAAAGTAGATGTTACGAGAGGGCTTTTTCTTTCAGTTTGTGTCTTAAAGTTACTTCAAATCAAATCAAAATATACTTTATTGTCCGAAGATTTGCATCTTATTGACAAAGTCCAAGAAATACAATGTTAATATAAAAAAAGTACTAGAAAAGTATAAATGTAGATATAAAAAAGTTCCAGAAATGTATGAATGTAAATATAAAAAAAGTTCTAAAAATGTATAGATAAAATACCACCATGTATAAAGTGATAGTACAAAGAATAAATTGCTAATATATTGTTAAAATGATTCGCTAAAATACTCTTCCAAACTATAATAGGGTCTATCAGCAAGTAGGTTCTTCACAGCCTTTTTGAAATTAATATTGCTTAAATTTGTAAATCTCATTTCTAATGGTAAATGATTGAACAATTTACCACCATTATAGTATATGGAATCCTTGATTAAATTCGAAGTTGGGATGGGAAGTCTAAAGGTATAATTGCTATTGCGAGTAGCATAAGGAGTAGAAGCAAAGTTAAAGTTCGATTTGTGTTTATAAATAAGGCAAACTGTCTCTAAGATAAAAAGTGCGATGACTGTTAACATTTTATTGGCGGTGAACAAATTCCTGCACGATTCTCTGGGTTTGACTTTACAGAGACATTTTAGTACCCTCTTCTGTAATATCAATACAAAAGAGAGAAGGGATGAGTTGCATGCTCCCCAAAAAGATATTCCATAATGTAGTCGAGATTCAATAAGTGCATGGTAAACGGTCTTTGCGACATGGAAACCCAACTCATTTGATACCACTCTAACTGCATAACATCCTGAGGAGATCTTACTCTTCAGTTGTTTAAGGTGTTCATCAAATTTCAGCCTATTATATCAATGAATACACCGACAAACTTTGTGTTTAATTTATTTTGTAATATGGCAGCATCTATTGAAATGTCATCAAGCGAACATTTGAATGATATTATATTCGTTTTGGATGCATTTAGAGAGAGTAAATTCACATCACATCAGCTCTTCACCTTCTTCAAGTTGGATGATATTATTTTATTTAGCTCCATTTAGTTTTTTCTTTCCACAATATTGTAGTATCATCCGCGAATAGAATGTAACTACCAGATATGTTAATCATAGATATGTCATTCATATATAGCAGAAACAGAATAGGGCCTAACACAGAACCCTGTGGTACACCAGATTCAATGGCCCGGTTCTCCGAGAGTTCCTTTGTCCTCACCATTTGACTCCGACCTGAAAGGTACGATTCGAACCAAGTGTACGTTACACCTCTACATCCATATTTGTGAAGTTTTTTAAATAAAATTTTATGATTGACGCAATCAAACGCCTTTGAAATATCGTAAAAAATTGCGGCGGCTACTTCACCAGCATTCAATTCAGAGTAAATTTCATATAAAAAAGAGAAGATAGCATCATTTGTATCTTTTTCCGCTTGAAACCCAAACTGGTTTTTTATTATAATACAGTGCAGTTTTAAGAATCCATCTAAACGTACTTTGACTAATTTCTCAATAATTTTTGCTAAAGTCGGTATTAAGGAAAGAGGACGCAGATTGGAGGGAATATCTAAATTACCACCTTTATGTACGGAAGTCTTCAGGGAAGAAGGAAATAAGCCAGTTCTGAATGAGGTATTAATAAGGGCGACCAAAGTTTCTAGAGCATTGAGTGAGTGGTAAAGAATTTTAACGGAAATATCATCATATCCGGCCGTGTTTTTGTGAATTTTCTGATATAATGCAGTGAGCGCAGGTTTCTAGAGGATGTTTTCAGTCCTTTTGTCACCCATGGCTTTTTACATTTATTTTTAATTATTTGTTCTGGAAACGACTTATTGAACACATTAGACAATGTACTGTGGAATGATAAAAAGGGGTCACATTCAGAGAGTATGCTCGCCCAGTCTATTTCAAGGCAGTTTTGATAGAAACTATCATAGTTTGAATGACTGAACAATCTACCATACTTTTGTATGGTTTGTTTTTTTGTTGATTTCAAAAGAATAGAACATTTCACTGCTTCATGATCAGATAATCCGGATGGAATAACTGTGCATGAAACATTTTGCTTGTCAATATTGCTACAGACATAGTCGATGCAGGATGCAGAAAATCGAGAGATGCGAGTATTCGTATCAACGTGCACACTTAAGTCAAATGATAAAAGTAAGTTCTTCAGTGACTCATTAACTAGAGAATCACAGTCATTTCAATTGATATTGAAATCACCTGTTACGATTATAGAACCATTTATCGGCAGGTCAGACAAGAGAAGCTCTAGTTTTCTTAAAAATATATTAACATCCGTAGAGGGAGATCGATAAAGACAAACAACATATAAATTATATTTTTTGCTAAAGCAGACTGTGAATTCAAATGTTTTATCATCCAAGAGATCATTGAACTTTTCGATTTGAGAGAAAGAGTAATCGGTAATTACAGTGTCAGCCACCAGAATAACTGTTTCCTCGTGGTTTGAGTCTGCTCTTGAGTTTCTGCATACCACAGAGTAGCAAGGTATGTATATAGGCTCATTACTATTACACCAATGTTCTGTTAACAATACTATACTGGGAAAATTCAGAGTATTCAGAAGTACATAAAGTTCGTCACACTTACGTCTGAGGGACTGAATATTCAGTAAAAATAATGTGCAGGTTTTTGTATTAGATTTGAATTTGTAATCACTATTATCATTTCCAGAACATTGTTCACTCTTGGAATCAATTTCTTGGGATATCACAGGTCTATAGAAAGGATGTTCTGAGCTTGATCTAAAAAATCATCGCATATAGAGACATATTTCAAATTATTCCTTTGTTTTTTCATTAGAATGTTATAGTTTAATACATTTTTCGCTATGATATGAATTTTAAGCTTTTTACCACCGCGGCTGTTAATCTCCGAGAAAGAAATAGCTCCTTCAGCATAATAATTTAGCTTTTTTGTGTATTCGTATAATTTGATATTAAATTTATAGATAAGTTGATTAACACTATACATCTTTCCATAGGGTATAGAAGATAGTATTATGTTTGTATTTGTACAGAGTTTCAGAAGACTTGATTTTTCTGAATGAAGGATATTTATTAGCCCTAAAATCGTTTGACCCTGCCAAAACTAAAATGTAATCATTGCTGTCTAGATCTTTTGACAAGTTGACAATATCCTCAATTATGTTTTCAAACAACGCTCCTGGTTTGATGATAGTTTGAACAGTAAACCTATCCCTATTGAATCTAGATATCATTTCTTCCAAACCATATCCAAAATCATCTTATAAAATAAGGATTTGATTTTTTGGAGAGACTCGATCCATACACAATTTGCTTACATATGTTCTATCATCATCTTCTACATCTGATGATTCAGTCAATTTTTTCAAAGTTTCATAAGGCTTATTTTCTTCCACAAAATTGTTTGGCAGTATTTTGTCCTTGGTTTTTGACGAGCTAGGACCAGGTCTGAGTTGGATATTTGATTTATTTCTAATTTCAATGTCGAATTTTCTTGTCGGATACACTCTATTTAATTCAAATTTACTTGGTTTTTCGCTTAAAGAGTTTCTATCGATGTAAGCATTTTTTTTGTTGATTTTGTTGAGTTCGCCCAGTTCTTCCTCCAGTTTAGACATCTCTTTCAATGTTTCATCCAATTTCATATGAAAATCTTCATTTCTCAGTGCCAATTCATCTTTATCCGAGTTCAGTTTTGTCAGTTCCCTTTCCTGTTTTTTGATGTTTTTCATAGGATCCTCCTCCAAGCTGGCAGCTTCATCTTGAAAATCGCTTGAGGCTCTTCTCAATCTCTTCATGTAGCTGTCCTTCTTTTGATTATCTCTTCTCAACTTATCAAGTTCTTCTTGTAGGAAATTAACTTTGTCTTCCCAGTCTATTTAGTTTTTCTATCACAATAACTTTTTCTGCATTATCCTTCTCAAGTTTATTTATTATGTCTTCACTTTTTTTAAGTAGTTCTGCCTCTTGTTTATTTTTCTTCACGCAATCTTTAGAGCATAGTATTTTTGTACCTCCCATTGTGATGTGTTTTACCCTGTCCACACAGCTAGCGTGGAACATATTAAAACACTGAGCACAACAAAAATTTGGACACTCTTTACCTTTGCAACACTTGGAATTGTTGGACATTCTGACGAAATAATATGTTTCTAAATTAGTGTTCAATTAAATTGGATATCAATCCTATCAAGAATGAAATCAACGTCAATATTGTCCGGGCACGATCCTCTTAATAGAATTTCTTACCTCTCGTTTTTTGTGGCTTTATCTATCGGTGTTTTTGTAGCCAAATCTACTTTTACAACTTTAATGCACTCTTCTGAGTTTATTTATGCACTTACCAATGTCTGACACAGATAACTTTGACGCACAAAACTGGATAATGCGTTGCATAACAAGTAGAAAAAAGACCGAAGTTTTTGAGTAAGTTTTAACCACTAAATTTTGATCATCAATCAGAGCCAATCTATTTCAACTTTCTACAACTTTTGATTTCTACAACTTTTTGTAAAGAGTTTATTTTGGTATTATTCACTTTCTTTCTTTCTTTGGAAGATTCCTACATTTTTTTGTATAAAAATAGAGAACTAGAAAGCTAAAACCTTTCTTTCAATAATCTTCTTGACACACGTTTCAACAACCAAGTTGGCATCTTCACGAGTTGAGTTTTCTTCATCTCCCAAAGATGCCAACCTTGTTGGTGAAACATGGGTCAAGAAGAGTGTTGAAGTTGTGGTGATTGGAAAATGTGCTTGTTTTTTAGTTCATTTTACGCCAGAGATTCCAATTTTATCTTTATTTCAGTATATTGTTGCCACTGAAGAAAACATATTTTTTATGATAACACATTTTCGGCCTTCAGTATTGATAAACTAATTACTAATTTTGTATTTTTTTTCAGATTCAGTCCAGTTTTCGCCATTGGCAGCTCACAATGTCGACAAGTGCAATGCAAGTCTGTTCAGTAAAATAGAAAATTTAGAAAAACAGCTCAATATTGAGCTCAAAGTCAAACAGGGAGCCGAAAACATGATTCAAAGCATCACGGGTAGAGATAAGAAGTTGTTAATAGAAGCTCAACAAATGTTACAAGACTCAAAAAAGAAAATAGAATATTTAAAAATGAAAATAACGAAGGTAAATATCTTTGTTTTTTGTTTTTTTTTTTTATATAAAAACTTTTCATTTTAGCTAAAACATGACATTGATTCCAAATCTCGTGGATCGATGCAGGACCTTACAGATAATGGAGACTTGTCGCATAGGGAACTAGAACCGCTTTTAGATGATAGGATAGAGAATTTAAAACATAGACTCAGAGTGGAAGCAGCTGTGGTGGAAGGTGCCAAAAATGTTATAAAACTTTTACAAAATAACAATAAGGATAAGAATGAGAAAAAGGCTCTTGTGGAGGTAAGTTGAAAGTAGATGTAGAATTCGTCCTCAGTAACAATACCAGACTGATTTCAGGGTTATGCATAGGTTGTTAATTTTATAATACAACTTTGATTATCGATATTATTTGAACATTTTATGAAAGTAGTTCATTTTAAAGGAGAATCTGTTTGTGTTTTAGTCATTCAACTGCTTCAAAATCATATGTTCTTTCGTTCAGATATAATAATAAGAATAGATCTTGTTGAAATATAAGTAAATTTATATTTATTTTGGATGTATATATGAACGCAAGAGGGCGCCACTGATATAGTAGTTATATCAGATTTAGCAACTGTAATATAGAAGAGAGTAGTCGTCATCTTCATGGCAATGTACAAAGTTGTAATCTGGTAATTCATTTGATCCTCTGAAACAACCTCTGCATATTTATAATTTGTCAAATCTGAATTGAAGTATTGAATATTTTTAGGGGAGATTTTTTTTTATGAATGTCTCGCATCGAATTTCGCCTTTATTTTTTTTTTAAAAAGTGGCTGCTCTCAGTAATTCAGGAGTCATCTGATATCAAACACTGTTTTTTTAAACACAGTTGTGTTGTTCCAGAACACTTTTTTTTATTTTCTTATAGTATCAACTTATTAAGTGGTACAACTGCTTCCTGTTCCTAATGCTAAACAGATAATCTAGATGCTTTCTTTAGTCTCAATTGATTTGTTTCATAAAAGAAACAAGCTGTTTATAAGTATCAAAATATAAATACCTAACTAAGAGTTTGGTTATAGACTTTTGAACAACAAATTTTATAAACAAGATTCAGGTTCACCAATGGGCACAGATATGTAGAAGATATTCTCGCCTGTTTCAGAGGTACTACACGATAGCTGAATCAGTTTGACATTTATGAATAATCTTAATAGAAGCATACAGTTCACACTCGAAACAAAGAGGGAGAGAAACAAATTAATATCTCAGACCTGACCATCACACATAAACATAATAAATTTGAGTTCAATCCAGTCAGAAAAGCGAGCTATATAGACATTACAATCCCAAGTGATTCTTTCCATCCCGATAGTCAAAAATTAGTACCCTACAATTCAGTGTCACCCAGAGCATTCTCGTTACCTTTGTTTGCTAAGAATCTAGACAGGGAAATTAAAATGATTATACAGATAAGACATAATAATGATTTCAACGCAGGCACGATTGGATCTAGGAATTCATTGAGGGGGGCACACTCGAGATGAATTTTTCACTATAAATAAATTAAAATTAAAATATGAGATTATAACCGGCCACTGTAATAACAAATTTAGTTATGTATTACATTTCATATCTGGAGTTGATGTTGAGTTCTAAGATATAGGTTTCTACCTTTTTGAGACTACACGAATACGAATACTGTTGATGTTTTTTCGGAGACAAAAGTCAAAAAACACATGAATTGTAATACATAGCTGAATGTGTTATTACAGGGGCTTCAAAAATCGATGAACAAAAACTAGAGATCCGTATTTAAAAAAAAATGAACTTGATGATGAAATTATCCTACATATAAAATTTTACTATGAGTTCCTCTTCTCCTCCCAACCACATAATATAAAGCATTCAAGTCAGTTGTTAAAAAAATGGTGTTTATCCACCTGTGCCAAGTTTTATTGAAATCTGAGGTGGTAATATTCAATAGGTGTGTTCATTCGACATAGAATGACTCTACACAAGATGTTGCAATTTTACATACTAAATATTTAAGATTTGACGTTTATTAATTCGAATCAGATATATTACGCTGAAGTTTTTTTTTTGTGTAAACCGAGAAAACAATAAAATCAATTTCATGAAATTTGGCAAAAGTTGAATATGATTCCTGTGCCAGTTCTCATTTGCAGAGAGCACATATGTCATTGGCAATTGTCCAAACATATCTTTACGTGTTAACAATGAACAATAGAATAATGACTTGTAAAATTCATAGAACGGTGAAGAGAATTTCAAGAAATTGATTTCAAGACTTGGAATAACTGTGCTACTCTTGGAGTGGCACAATCTAATTTGAATGTGTCATAAACTATTTTAAAAAAGTTAGTTGCATGTGTGGCTGTATTGTATACGGTCCTATTAGTGAAATATGTCTGCATAAACAAAAAATCGAAAAGTTAGGCCCTTGTAAAATAATGAGATATATTACAACTTCAGAAAAGTATTTCACAGTTGAAGTGTGTGGGAAGATCAATTTTAAATCATGTTTAATCTGGGCCAGAGATTTTCCTGCTACCTTGGAACTATTATTTATTTTTGAAGCCTGAACATTTCACTTTCTTAATATATTTTTCTTTGCGTTAATTTAGCGAACTTAAAGCAAGACATATATCCGCGAGATATAATAATAACTTATTATACAATAGTTTTTATATGTATATTTTTCCTTTCACAATCACTACGAACATAAACACCGACTTAACTATCTTTTTTGCCCAAAGAATCATGCAAAAACGTCTAAAGCATCCATAATTAAATTTCTTTTCGGAATTTATGTAGGAAGAGAAATAATAATTGAAATAAATTGCCTCTTTAAGACAGACACATATCTATGAATAGTTTGGAACACTCGCCAAAAATCTCTTGAAATTCTAAAATAATCTAATATACTCAATTTAAATGTAATGAAAACTTTCCCAATGAAACGTCATATCATGAAACACACAATATTTCCCTGATCTACACCATTGTTCACTCACTTGCTGTTTTTTTAGTAGATTATTTCTCAGTACTTGAGAAAATCTTGTCTTGTGTTTTTTTAGTTTTACAATGATTTATAAAAATGAAAAATTTTGGAAGAATGAATATTGAAAATTCATTAGGAATAATTAGGTAACACTTTCACAATGAAGTATTATTTGAATAAGATATGGATTATCGTCATCGATCTCTCTTTATTATTTTCTCATTCGGTACCTACATTAAACATATTTCAAATTGAAATAGATATATTTTATGGAAACCCAGGTAAAACGCAAAAACTCCTTGTTTTTGCTCTCAACCGCTGAGGTTGAGTTTGAAATTGGAGACGAATTTTCATGTCTGTCGATGTAATTCATTGAATTGGTATCGATAAAATTGATAAGTGGTGGAAAAACTTTGTAAACTTAGGTTCCAGTTCGAACTCTGTTTTTTTCAACAAAATTTCATATTACCATTTGAGAAATTAACGGATCATAGAGAAATTTTGACACTTTTTTTTGTTTTTTGTTTAAAGCACCAAAATTATGCGTTTTATGTGAAAGGACATTATGTTCAGTTTCAAATTGGTTTGAATTTGAAACCATAACAAGATTTTTATCCGTTTTTGAACTAAAATCATTGAAAATTTCACTATTTTCAACAAAAAATTGAAAATTCTGATTTTTGTAATATATTGAGCTAATTTTGGCAAATCAACTTCACCCTCGAAGTAATTCATCATTATAAGCTGTTAGGAAATGTAATAATGTTTTGGACAAAAATCCACCGAAAACTAGTGCGGGTATGTTGGTCGTTCTGCGGCGATATGGGGTGTGCGGTCCAGGTAGCAGTACATACAAATTATTTAACACGTGTCTCAAGAGGTAAATTTAATTCTTTTTGAGTTCGTACTATATAAAAAGGTTCAGTATTATCTAAGTTGAAGTGCTGTTCACTGATAGCAGAGTTAGATATGTGACAAATCAAGTTGCCGAGGTTACTGACACGCTCATTGCTACCACCGCAAGTTGTTGGTGAAGATATTGACCGCCTCGAGCAACATCTTATTCCAGATACCGGAACGAGGGAACGGAAAACCACCAAAGTCATCAATTTCCATCTCCACGCTGCTTTGGAGAGGACAACTGTAAACATCTTATTCATGCATGCTATGAGACACTGCAAAATCTTTGCTGCAATATTTAAACAGATAAAGACAAAAACTGTGTGAATACCTACCTCTAACACCTTCCTGAAGATATTCATAGCTGAGGAAGCAACCTTCCTTTTAGAAGATAATTATTGGCAGATCTGTACGGACGAAATATGAGCGTACAAGTCTTACAATACTGCACCAGAGATACAAGAGTTACAATACTACACCTGCGATACAAGAGTCTTCAATACTCGCGTCACTTCCTCCTACTCCAAAAGCAGTGTACTATCACCTATTGTGCGTGTACCTGTAAGACCCCAACGGCCTCTAACCTGTCACCACTGCTCAGCACACAGCACCATACAAGCTCCTTAACTTGGTGGTCCCCAAATGCAGGAAAAGTTGCGAAATTAGTGGATGGGAATACATGAAGGCGGACCTATTCTACTTAATGATGTGTGCTCGTTATGAAGAATTTTGTAACAACTACGACTAGGAGATATACAACTCACAAGACGATGAGAAAGTTTGTGATTAAGAAGTTGTGGATATTTCTCCTAAAGCTTTCGTTTTGAAGTATGAGATATAAAACTTCCTATGTTTTCATACCACCTGTTTTTGTAACTATCGTTACTGCAGTTTCGTGCTATAAGGACATTTTCAAACGAATACGAGTTTATTGTATTGTATAATAGAACTGCACAGCCAAGGAGCAACTCCTCAACAACTACAGTCTCAGCCTTCAGAAGTCCAGCCCAAAAGAACAATAGTAACAATTGTTGATCATTAACAATAGTAACAATTGTTGATCATTACAGTGAAAATATGTATGGTATTCATTCACTGAAGCTAAAGAAAAAACTAATATATCCTTTTTTTATTCATGTTCTCCATTCTACAATTTTTGAGATTTTTGGCCGAATTTTTGACTGAACTATGGGACCCATGGTGATCCGTCAAGGATGAAGTTTAATTGGACTACATTCCCTATTTCCATTATATATCATACATTCCCTTTAATTATGAATTTTACCTATAGGAAGACGTCGATTTAATTCAAAAAATGATGAAATCGACAATTTTATTTTTTTTGTAAAAATAGTCAAATTTTTCATAGGCTGTATTTCAGAAACGGACAGTCTTAAAAATTTCGCCCTGATCTCAAATTATAGACTAATTCAAAAGTACATATTATGTCCGTTCATAAGAGATATATACTTCAGATGCTATAAGCGAAATTGAAAAAAAGTGCACAGATTAACCTTTTCCTGCTTATACTTGAAATGAAAATTTCCCAATAATATACAAGATTTTTTTCCTAAATGTTTCGTACATACTTTAAAACTCTGTATCCTGTCTAAACTATTAAAGTTAATAAAACTTATACATCCAGTCAAATAAAGTAACACATTCAAAAAATGGTTTTTATAGCTCGATTAATAGTTGATAGAGAAATTTTGATAATGGTTCAAACATATATTAACTAACCTGAACTAACCTTTTCAGAGTATTATTCTAATACTTTTGTTAAGACTGATTAGACGATGTTCTTTCATTTTAATATTTATGGCATTTACAGCAAATCAACAAGAGTGGAGAATGATTCCCTATTGATATGTTTGGCCATGACCAAACATTTTATTTCACGCGTTTGAATTATTAATGTGACATTTAACTCCCTTGTTTTCCATTTATTTGTTGTGGTAAACGACGATCAAAATAGAGTTAATGCGTATCCATATGTCCACAGGACAATGTATGCTATGGCCTCAAATGAAATTGTTATATAAATAGTAGAGGAGGTTGCCAAAAATCCGTTCAGTATATCTCGCGCTATGACATGCCCACGTTCTGATTGAAGTTCCAACAGTCCAATTGTATGAATGTGATCAACTGTTTTATTGGGGTCTCAATTACTATTTTGTTTACAATAATCAAGTTCGGTTAAAAACGAGTGTGGATACTTGTATTTCGAATTTCAAACAACGATTTCAAGAGTAGGCGTAAAAGTAACATCAACGTCGGTGTTGAATATTTCGTGCTATTATTGTTAACAGTCGTGCGGTTGGATATCTAAAAAATAGTGCATGTGGGCAAGAAAACCGTAGATCTGAAATCAGAATTAGTAACTCTAAAAATATCCATAGCCTGTTGCTGTCGGTGACGCAACCGCAGTGTTTAGGGAATTGTAACACAGGTGTTCTCTTCGCTTTTTGTTTCATTAAAACTCGTAGATAGTTTCGAGTTCGTCGATCGGGCAGTGCGAGTCAAACATGTGAAGGTATTGCTGTTAGTACTTTCCAAACTGACGAATAGTATTTGGTCATGAAAAATATGGAAGATAGATTTCGTCGAACCAATAACTGTTTGAGTCTTAGTCTTTAACATGTACAACAACCCTGACCAACCTCAACAATGGTCAGTGCACGCAGAATTCACCATTACCCATCCAGGAGCAGGAAATCCCAGCAATCCCGCTAGAACTAACACCGTTCAAGATGACAAAGGGGTGCGAATGTTGTATTCATGGTCTGCCAACGACCATCCCAACACTTGGTCCACTTCATCTCAAAACAACCCCTCGGAATCGGGCAGTTACAGATCTTCCGAAAGGCAGTATGTTTTTCAGAAAGGCAACCTATTTTTCACGTCGACGCCACCTGCAAAACCAAGCCAACCGAGTGCACCCGTTTTGGACTCCGGATACGGAAGTGATTTGCTCTCGCCGAGTTCTTTCGGGGGCTCAGGTCTGCCCAAATCCGGATCCCATCCCTTCAACCGTAAATGCAGGAGTACTTGTAATATAATTCTGACGAGCAACGCCAGACATCAGGGCGCTGGGATGGAAGCTGGTACTTCGGGTCGCGCACACTGCGGGAGGACACAGAGCCTCCGGTGCCAGACCCCTTCGGCGTGTTGCGAAAAAAGAAGCGAGAATTTTTACGGATGCGGAGATCCATGGTGCCACCATTTGCATTATGCCGATGAGTTTTCCACCACCCGGAGGGTCTCGCCCGTTCGAGAAGTTTGCGAGGATTTTCAAGAGGTATCCCACGAAGACTGTGATCGGTCGTGCGTGGTTAGTGAGTCACGTAAAGTGTTAAATCTAGCGGTCAAACGAGACGTGTCCGTGCAGACTTTCGAGATGGTCAATAAGTGTACTTCGCCGTTGTTGAAGGTAGACGATTCTGATGGTCAAAATTCGTCCGGAAGAAAAGGTAGCCGGTTGAAAAGAGGCAGAACTATCGGCAGGGGAGATTCATTGAAAAAATCGCCGATACCTCCGAGCGTGCTCACCGATAAGATATTTCAGGTATGTATTTTTTACTTTGTTGTTTAAATTGTTCTTTCTATGATGAAATCCACAAAATTTTGTTCTGGTCAAGATACCATTTCAGTTTCAAATGTGTTAAATTTAAAAATTGCCAGTGAAAATTCACGGAAACTGAAAAAGACATGAAAGAAGTGTCTCCATAACCTCGCCCGTCTTTCACTACATGCAATCGTGAAATATTACTGAATAGTTCTTTGAAAATTATTTTCAGGAGTATAAAATTCTGGAGGTTTTGCCAAAATTGACTGAACAAAATTAGTGGTTCCTGTGATTTTTTTCCTTATGAGATACCTCCAAAATAACTCACCAGATTAATTATTTCGGAATTTTTCTTTTACAATGGTCTCCATCCAAAACTCAGTTGCCATCTGAATCTATTGGACATTCCAGCTAATCCACAATTGAGATTTCATCGCACTTTTCCTGCTGAGATTTCTATATTTTATTAGTCCCATAATTATCTCACCCATAACTTCAGTTTTCATTCAGGAAATACATTCATCATTGAAAGGAATATTTTTATAGTTCACCCACCATCAATAAGTTATGACATAATACAAACGTTTCATACTCAACTTAGTCGGAGTAGAATTTTAATTAACATTATGTAAAAACTTACTGATGCTTTTTGATGAAAGGTAATGAATTTTATTGAAACAAATACATATCCTGTTTCAAATTATGTCAATTAATTTTAACTCTTTCATGGACAGAATAAACGAAGAAAAGAGAAATGAAACTTTCTATGTTTTTTACCACTTTTATTTGTAAGTAACATTACTGCAGTTTCTTCCTATACGGACATGTTCAAACTTATAAAATAAACTAACAATGGTTCATTACATTAGCCCTTATATACTACCCCTGTAGGTACTAATAGAGGTACTGGGCTTGATTGAGTACCTGAATTTTCAGTTTACAATGCGGATGTGTCAATTTAAAAACCGGCGAGTAAACTAAATCGATTTTATCATGTAACAGGTAATAATGGTTTCAACGCAGATTCTATTCAGAAGTTAGTCAGGAAACAGATCAATATACCCTCAGGTCAAACAACCAAAAATCAAGAAATGGGTAACTCTAACATTTTGGAAAAAGAACAGAGATAATTGCGGGTTTCTTCAGAAAAAACAATGTGGAAGTGGCATTCAGACCACATGCCAGGTTATCTGATTTCCTTTTCAATGCCAAAGATAAGGTGGACAAGTTAGAGAAATCTGGAGTTTATAAGCTTAAGTGTCAGGAGTGTAATAATGTTTATGTGGGACAATGTGGCTGAAAATTCCAAAAACGGTATGCTGAACATGAAAGCTCCTTCAGACTAGGAAAAAATGATTCGACGTTTTCAAACCATTCCTTAGCATGCAACCACAAGTTTTCGAATCTAAACAATACGGAAATTCTGCACTATGCAAGGAAGGGTTGCAAACTCAATTATTTTGAATCCTTGGAAATTCACAAGCATAAACATTGCGGGTGCAACCTGTTAAATGGTCAAATCGATTTAGTTTACTCACCGGTTTTTAAATTGACACTTCCGCATTGTAAACTGTAAATTCAGGCACTCAATCAAGCCAAGTACCTCTATTAGTACCTACAGGGGTGGTATATTAGGGCTAATGTAATGAACAATTGTTAGTTTATTGTATATTATTGAAAATGTCTGTATAGGAGGAAACTGCAGTAACGTTAGTTACAAATAAAAGTGGTAAAAAACATAGAAAAATTCATTTCTCTTTTCTTTATTATGATTTCCTACCACGTAGTAACGGCTACATCCATCTATTTATTGAACAAACCTTTGTATATGTGAGCATGGATATCAAGATATACAAAGGTCCCAAAGGCGTCCTCCGAATGATATGCGTTTTCTGTCTTTCACTGTAAGGCGACTAGTTGCTATTGTCCAAATCCAAAAAACTCGACAAAACTAAAGAATTTATGAAAGTCCGATGACTTTTCCGCACTGTTTCAAAGTATCAGAAGGAAATTTTTGCATATCAATTAACTATATATTCACCTGAAATAATACAAAGTACTGTTAACATATTTCCCCCTTGTTTCTAAGATCAAAGTGACAGCCTTTGGACTCTGGTTATATCCAGATGCCTGCTTACAGTGAATGCTACAGAGAAAAATATGGTATCAAAGCTTGGATTTGCAACAGACCGCCCTGGTGACCATTGTTTATCGTGGACAAGTAAGGTTCGACTTTTCTGTCGATCCCATAGATGGCATCTTCATAAAGGGAGATATCCGTGCTTACTTATACTTGGGATTGTTCTCTAAAGACAGTTCAGTTCAACATTGGAGCTTCGCAACAACACTGTGTGGTGGTGGATCACTAATGCTTTCCTTTGTATTTGAGCTCTGGTTTCATCTAGTGAAAACCTACCCTCCAAAACACACCCACTGAAAGGCCTTTTAAAAAAACGTTAAAATAAATTGATTGATGTAGCCGTTACTACGTGGTAGGATATCATCATGAAAAATAAGAAATGAAACTTTATATGTTTTTTACCACTTTTATTTGTAACTATCATAACTGCATTTTCGTCCTATATGGACGATACAATAAATAAAGTTTAAAAATGTCCGTAAAGGACGAAACTGCAGTAACGATAGTTACAAATAAAAGTGGTAAAAACATAGAAAGTTTCATTTCTCATTTTCCATAAAGAACTTTTAAATGATGTATGTATGTATGTACGTGTTAGGAATCACACGTTAAAAGGTAAGACCTCGTTAGTCCTTAGCTCGCACAAGTTTCTCAACTTCTGAGAGTTGTCAGATTTTAAACAGATTTTAAGTTTTGACGTGCTGGTTGATAAGATGGAGGGAACTTATGATGTTTGCTGTTATTTTTGCTGCACATTCGTTTTCAAAATGTGTTGCCATTTCTCAACACCTTTTTTAAATCTCGAAATCTTCCACGGACAACTTTTAAATTTAATTCGTTTCACTATCCAAATTACGAGAGCTTTTTTGAGATTTTGACTTGTGTTTGCTAAGAAACATGTTGCTAATATAACTTATTTTGAAATATAAAAAATGCCAAGACAATCAGTTTAATTACTTTCAATATTTTCGGTTACTTCATAAAAGTAAACTTTTTTGTTCATCATGAGATTAACTATTCTGATAAATAAAATACATTAGCTATAAACATATAATATATTAATAGTTCAGGTAAACCTTTCAAATGATTAATAGTAGATTTACTTATTGAAACAAAATTCAATAGTTACTATTCACTGATATAAAATAGAACATTCTCAAAAACGTACTTGTGCTCGTGGAGTTTTTTTTTTCACAATAGTGGACTTTACTAATGGCAATTGAAAACCCCCTTTCTTTCTTTTTATCTTCTGAATTCCTCTACCAATTCAATATCCATCTTCAGGACAGTACGTTTTCGTTCACATCTAATTTGAAAATTAAAGCACATGAATGTTCTAATTATATAAAATATCACGTGAAAAAATAAAATATATAGTGTAATATTATGTGCCACTATAATAGGTATATGTACTACATTTGGAAATGATTACTACTTATATAGAAACGTTTAACATTACTCTCAGAGTTATCTTAATATCTCAGTCATAATTACTAATGTCAACAGACATCTTATATTTATATTAATTCAATTATGTTGTTACACAACCTTATTTTTAATTTCGAAAGGCACTGAATGTTGAGACCTAATGAATAATTATATATACAAAATTCCAAACTTATTGAATTTCAATAATAATTTTTATTTTCCACAGAAAGAACTTCCAAAGCTGAATCGCTCTCCGAGCTTAGGAAAAACTTCCCCGTCCGTCCGTGAGAAGAAAGGATCTGGAAGTGACACAAAATCCGGTGATTCTTCGAAGAAACCTCGTACCATCCATATCGACGTTTATTGCACAGGTACCGACATTGAATCGGATAGCAGTTGCGCTAGTTCCTCGAGCTCTTCGCATAGTAAGAGTCTATCAACTCCTCAGACCGTTTTCGAATCGGATAAAGTTTGCATTACTCACAGAAAGGCTGACGATAAAATAGTTCCTCGTAATTTCTCTCAAACCAATGATACTTCCTTGGAAAGAGAAGACTCTGACGTAGACGATGGGGAAAGTACGGGGTATCCTTCAAAAGTGAGTTCTTACTCCACGATGGGACAGTCTTTGACCAGCATGTCTAGTTTTCCTAATTCAGCGACATATTCTTTGTCCAGTTGTACTGTACCAGATTATGAATCTTCTGCTGCTAATACGTCCTGGAAGGATACATTTTCGGACATTGATAGTTTGCTACAGAGCCGAAACAGCATAGGCGGAAACGACAGCTCTTATTTCATTCCTAGAAAGATTGTTGAAGAGAATGTTAGCGGCTCTGAGTCTCTGAGGACCGGCACGACAAACAGTATTAGCTTAAATCCCAGTGATAGCTTTGAATATGATAATTCCGAAGATAGACTTCGTATAAAGAGAATGGAACGAATGTGGAAAAACAAGCATTTGAAACAAGCCAGTAAAAACAAAATGTTGTTACGCCAGGAAAAACTGCAAGAAGCTGTGAACAAGAGGTTGAGTCAGATGAACGTATCAAAAGATTCAGAGTCTGAGGTGAGCGATGATTCTGAAAAAGGTTGGACATTCCTCAAAGGCCAAGAAGAGAAGGTCACAGAGTTAGTTGTCCCAGAAGCTATTCCTCCTACTAAAGAATCTACTCAGCCGCCAGCACCGAAGAAACCCCTGCGGGTCCTCTCGAAGGAAGACAGCACATTTCTTGGCAGTTTGAGTGACTCTAGTTCGCCTCCTTGCAAATCTCCTAGCTCTATAATTTTCCAGCAACGTCTTAGTGTAAATCCTGATTTACGGTCACCTTTCACAATTCTTCCAGGCAAGTATACCGAGTCAAGATTTATAGCAAAAAAGTTCGGGCCTATCATCGACGTGTACAAAAAGCCAGGACATCACATCGGGCCAGCTAAAAATCCAGACTGTTCATGTGATCATTGCCGAAGATATTATAAGGATTCGGTGACAGTTAGGAACAGAACTAGTTCTTTGGGTGATACTCCGAGGATTCCTCCTGGGCAGGACTGGGGAAATTTTGTGAAACCGGATAAGAGATATTCAGATTTTTGAGTGTGTTGTGTTATGAGGTGTACTTTTTACATTTATTTGCTAGCTTATTTGAACAAACAGCAGTGTACTAAGTTTTAGTTATACCTTTAAAGAATATATTATTGTGAAGGTAAGTAGAAACTGGTCAAAAGTTATGATTACACCTAAAATTGTTATTTATTTATTTGATGCACTGTTTATAATGTAGTTCCATTAGGTATGTTTGAACAACAATAACAACAATAATGGCCATTAGCCAATAAAAAGGTTACAATTTAAACTGATTTCTAAAATTATGTAGAAAAACATATGTCATCTAAAATTCACTGCTTTATAGAAAGTATACTGTTACAATATACAGTGCGGACATAAATATTCCTTCCTCCCCTCTTAACTTTTGAACAGGCAATAGTATTGAATCAATCGTCGCTGAGAGGGCGCTACAATTTTTTTTTCAAGGGATAGCTTGTTTGATAGCTATTTCAATTATATATATATATACATACATACATACATACATACATCCATGTTGAACCGCGTCTTGGGTTTTTTGTAGTTCGACGTTTTGGCTTCGACTTTGAAGCCATTTTCAATCTGACCACTCCTCAGGTGGTGACACGCTGTAAGGGTTTTGTGTCTTGACGCCCGGTCCTCAATCCGCCTATTCGCCTAATCCTAAACGTCAACTTTCAGCCATGTCATGTATAACCTCAAAAACATCTAGAGGTGTCATATCAGGTGATCTAGTGTTCTCCTCCTAAGGAACCATGTCTGTCTGTCAACCAGTTTGTATAATTGAAAAATTCAAATGAGTGTTTACCTCTTTGTTATGTCGGACGGGCTCGAAAGTGGCTAGATGACAATCATCCAAACCAGTGAATATGACACCCTCAGATTTTTTTGTAGGAATTCGTGAAATCTTTGAATCTAAAGTAACGTGCTCCTAGTGAAATTACCTCAGAATCACTCCATAATGTAAGAAATGAATTTGTAAATAAGCTTCTTTATTGTCAGGAAGTGAATATTGAACATTTCGAGTATTTATTGGAATAAACTGAAGTATACATTTTTTTAAATTTCAATATTCATTATTTATTTACATATTCTTGAAATGTTTGGGTTAATCCGACTTCCAAAAATTAAAATATCTTGGATAGAGAAGTGAAGTAGCTATTAAAAGACGTATGACAAGATTCCCCTTTCTATTTGAAAAAAAATTAATGCGCCTTCTTGACAACGAATAATGCAATGCTATTTGTATTATCAAAAATACATTTTTACCTAAATTTTGTCCATCCTTGACATCTTGTGCCTCACTGTATAGTGTTACCATTAAAGGCATCAAATGTGATTTTTTTTTAATAATAGACTTGAACTTTGGCTTTGGTGTGTGCTTCTAAAAAGACAAAATAACAGTACCTGTCAGTAATAACTTGAAAAAATATATTTCTTCACAGAATTTCGAAAAAAGTCATTTGAAAAAGTAGTTTTTTTTACAAATTTCATGATTGTATACAAAGTTTTATCAATCTAGAACAATGTTTTGCCAATTTTTGATAAATATCACAATCATTCAGAAAAAAAAATTAGGTTCACATTTACTTCTTCCTAAGCAACATGTCATGTGGATTATTTTTTTATCAATTTTCATTATTTGGAAACTAATTTGAAAAAAAATTTCAATGACAATATAAAAAATTGAGCAGATGCATTGCGAAGGGGTGATAGTTTCACCATTTCTTGAAAAAATAACAAATGGTAAATTTTTTATTCAATAAGTACAACTTAAAAATTAAAAACTCTTCAAATTTAAGTAGGTTAGGTCCAAAGTGAGTGGGTCTATTCGACCCTCCACCGCAACCCGCAAGGGTTTATTGTGGCTCACACTTATTCACACTCGGACAAATAAACCCAGCTTCTTAACGAAGCCGATTAGTTTGTATAGTAGTGGTCTTTCAAGTCAAAAGGTAAGAGTACGGCTCTGACGAACTCTAAAGACCTGATTCCGTCCCCAGTGGGGCAGGCACAAAGTATATGCTCTGTTAATGAGGTAGTAGGATAGTCAAGTTGCAAGATTCCTACCTTGATATCCACGACCACCTTCCCATATGAGGGTTTTTGCACGTCAGCTACACCTGAGATTCAGCCGTGCAAGGCTTTTTTGTCTCTGGTTTTGGACTTGCTCCTGAACTAAATTTACAGGAAGGTCCGTCGCGAGTCGTAAACTCGACATCCGTCTCCTCTGTAGACTCGCTCCTGATCCAAGTTTACAACGAGGTCAGTTTAAGTCGTAAACTCGACATCCATCTCCTCTGTACACTCGCTCCTGAACTAAATTTACAAGGAGGTCAGTTGGAGTCGTAAACTCGCCATCCATCTCCTCTAAAGACTCGCTACTGAATTAAATTTACAGGGAGGTCTGTTGGAGTCGTAAACTCGACATCCATCTCCTCTGTAGACTCGCTCCTCATTTAAGTTTACAGGGAGGTCAGTTGGAGTCGTAAGTTCGACATCCATCTCCTCTATAGACTCAGCGTCAGAAATAAATTTTAAGTTTACTCTGTCCATAAAAGTCCCACGAGTAGCTAGGGAAAGAAGATCAATTACAGCAGAGTCCCGCATTACCGTGACAAGGCGATGCTACGACGAGAGGTTCCGTAGAGACAGCTATAGGCCCAGTGTCATCGTTGGAATGCCATTCAGTTAGGGAATAACAAAACCACAAGCGATTCTGTCATTCCCGTATCCAGCGGGACTACGTGGAAGCAGACATCCGTGGAAGTAACAAGATTATTGAAGGAATTAAATTTGGTGCATGAATAAATATCACAAAATACATAGCTTTAAAATTCACTGCCTACATTTCAGTATGTTGTCCTTCTTGCTCATTGCAAACGTCCTTAGGGATTGGGGTTTTCTATTTGCACATCAGTCTTTAATGCTGAACATCAGTGTATACTGAAGTATACTTTCATAAACATTCTGTTTTAAATATCCCCATAGAAAAAAGTCCAATGATTTGAATCGGGTGATTGGAGAAGGCAGTAATAATCCCAATCGAATCCTATACTTTACTTTCGAACCTTTGATTTATGCACTGCTTTAATAAGATATTTTGGAGTGTTGTTGCACCATGAAGCTGGTACTATAACTTTTGTCTGGTAAATAGGAACATATCCAAAATCTCACTATCACTATTTATCCAGCTGTCGAAATTACTTTGAAGAAATACGGCCCAACCATTTTCAATTACTAGACACCAAACTTTAGTTTTACATGATTACTGATCTCGACATTATATTACAAAACCAGAATTAGCTCGCGACCACCTTTGGCAATTTCGGGAACTCATTGTACTGTTTGAAGAATATGTTGCTTTATCTGCCTTCAAAATGTTGCACAGAAATCATAAATTTTCTTCTCTTTTTACTAGAAACCAAAAACAAAACCCTTATGGGATATTAAAATCATGTTTCAGAGTATTTATAAATTAATTGTTTCGGAAATTGTGTTAGTATACAATGAAAACAATGGTTAGGAAGTTAAGAATATTGTTATGACTGCTTTGCTTGACATTACAGTAATCGACAAATGTTATACAAGTTGACTGTTAATTTCAATATACTGAACTATTACGACCTGGTTATCAATTCAGTTGAATTGATATTTTGAAGATATTCATCCTGAATGTAGCCTGAAAATGTTGACATTAAAAATCTCCACTAAACATAAATTCACTTTGAGTTTTCAAGTAATTCCCAAAATTACTAAGATCCGCTATTAAAATTCGCGGTTCAGATAACAGTAGATTACGTTATTAGAATAAAAACATACGAGTGTTCAAAATTCACAGATATACATATTTCTCAAAATCATAAATTATTTTCTAACTTGAATGTTGAACAATTTTCAATAAAAAAATCATGTAATTTTTTGTTAGATACTGAAAAATTATCACTGGAATCAGTCTGTTTATAACTTGAATATTTCTTATAACAAGAAAACGTTTTCTATAATATATAATATCCAGAACAATCGATGACAATTAATCAAACGCCGAAACATTTTATGACATTCACTGATGAGTAATATCATTTTACATTGATTATCATTTGTTTAGGCGCAAGAGAGTTTGAGGGCGAGTAGTATGAAGTTAGACCTCTTGAAAAAATCTTTGGAGATGAGGAAGGCTGAACTACCAGACGATTCCCCGGTGGCAATACATTTAAAAGAGGAACTCGCCAATGCTCAATCGTTCAGCCCTATGTCTGTTCATTACACAAGTTTTCAGTCTTTTCGAGAAGGTGGTGAAAGCGGTAAACATTACACTTCTTCTTCGACATTTAACAGGTATGCAATCACGAGAAAATCTGGGGGTATATGAATATTTGTGAATAAAATTATGAATGTATTAACTAAATCCCTCTTGAAAAAACTACTTTCATATAAACATTTAATCACACAAAAGAAAAAGTATTTTCGAAACAACTTCTATATGAACATTGAATTATAGGAAAATCACTCTTTTTATTCAGTTTGTATTTCAAACATCCGTTATGGAATTGAATCACTACACAATTTCACTTACTTGGAACACTGTCTCCTCAATGGTGGTGGAAGTCATCTTGAATTTAGTCAGGTTGGAGCCTGGCTCCCTTACCCTTTGAACTGATGTTTGCCAGAAGGACAAACGAGTCACCTCAATGGTGGACATTTGATGTTTCAAAATAAGACACTTGCCTGATTGTCTCTTCAACACCAATCTGGAATTCATTAACCTCTTTGCTGATGATGCCTTAATTGCTTGTAGCCTAGATACGGCTATTCAAAAAATGAATAATGTTTTACAATCAATTAGCAAGTATTTGAGTTTGAATAAATTGAAATTGAATGTGTCTAAAAGTCAGGCTATGATATTCACAAGTAAATACAGATATGATACCATTAATATTAATAGCCTTAACCTAAACATCAATAATGGACAAATTGAAATTGTATCGAATATCAAGTATTTGGGCTTCCAGTTTTTGCGACATCTCTCAGTTAGAGGCTTAACTAAATCGTCTGTGAAACAACATAAAATCACAAATTGGCTTGAATTGTGATTTTCACAAAACGTTGAACTTATAATCTTTGACCTTTTTGAAAAAATAATAGAGAAACATGTATTTGATTCCTTACCAATAAATTGTTCAATATATTTTTTTTTGTTTTGGGAAAGAAAGTTTTTGGCTTTCTACTACTCCATCTGATACAAAAAAAAGGGATAAATATTATGAATAATTTCTACAATCTTTCTCAATACAAGTTTCAAATTTGAACTTGCAGAACTTTTGCCATGTAATGTAAAAAAAATGCATTACAAGACCTCTACAATCCTTAAATTAGTGACAAGTCTTGAGTTGTTTTTCATTTTTATTTGTTCAATATTTCAAGAAAAAAAAACGGCACATAAAACCAATACTTGAAATATAGTAGGCATGAGGGAACATTTTCTTTACGTATTATTTTTCAATTACCTACTATTATTTATATAATTCAATAAAGTATTTCAGTTCCAACTATTACATAATATTTTCAATTTGGATTGCAATTTTTTTGGTTAAAACCAATATTAATATCTCTTATATAGAAAGTTTACAATGTTGCAAATCAGACCTAATGATATTTATCCCAAATATTATCCAATGTTTTTGGGGATATTTAATCTTCTAGTTATCTAGTTCATTACTTTTTTATTGAAATTGATATTTCTTAATAATAATAATAATGAAACATCAAAAATGTGATTTCAAAAATAGAGCAACATAAATTATCAAACATAATTTTCAGCAATTGAGTTAATTATGTTTTACAAACAAGTATAAAACAAAAATAATGAATAGATTTCTTTTCCAAATCTTTGGTTTTCATTGACAGATGTGCAGCTGTGACGGGAACGTTGGAAGTGAGGCTGATGGGCTGTCAAGATCTTCTTGAGGATGTTCCTGGGAGGTCACGAAAAGAAACTGATGCTACTTCTAGTCCAATAGATTTGAGGTTCTTCAAAAAAACGGGTCGAAGCTCGTCCAAAAGCTACAGCATCAAGGAAGAAGTCAGCGATGAAATCATGGCCGTACTGAAATTAGACAATACCACTGTGGGTCAGACAAGTTGGAGACCATGTTCTCAGCAAGCGTGGGATCAAAGGTTGGTGTTTTTTACTGTTTAGTGAAAAATATACTGATGAATTTATTCAACGTAGCTCACTACCTACATCAAGAAATGACTGATTTTTTGTTGAGGTATCCATGTTTTTAACTTGTTCAGGTGATGACCTATTTATTTTGTAGAAATTCATATTGAATATAGGATAGAGAAAAATAACTTTTGTCTAATTTTTGCTAAGGTTTTTAATTGCTACGACTGGTTTCAGTGTATTGAACCTTTTCAAAGCCAAGAAAGGTTTTTTCACAAAAAGTAATCTTGAAAATATTTTCCTTTCAATTTATTTTAAAAGTTATCAGCTTGTTTCTTAAGAAATCAAGCTGTCTTTATCGTTTAATATTGAAAAGTGTTAGGAAAAATAAAAAATCAAGAAGCAAATATTTTCTTAAGCCCATTATTTAAACTTTTGGGGTGCTATTTGTAAAAAAGGAAGTCCGAAAAAACCTGTTAGTTGAAAGTTATTAGTAATGCGCCGAATATTCGTTTGGTATTCGGTGTATTCGGCATCTTTTTAGTATTCGTATTCGGCCGAATCATTCGGTTTTGGTGCCGAATATATTCGGTTCGAGTATTTCTATTCTCTTGTTTACACGACTCGGACAAAACTTCTTATGTAAGATTCAAAGGAAAGAAAGGTTTTGGCTTTCTACCTCTCAATCTTGATGCAAAAAAATTGAATTACACTAAAGAAAAATGCTTTTGAAACAAATACTTTTATATGAACACTGAATTATACAAAAAACACTTTTCTCTATTCAGTTTGTAGTCCACACATTCGTTAAGGAGTTGAACCAGATATCATTCACAGGATTCTTACACAATATATTAAATGAAAGAGGTAAAATTTCACTTACATGGAACACTGTCATCCTCACTGGTAGGCATCCGATGTTTCACTGTGAGACACTTGCCTTATCAGCTCTTCGCTACCAAATTTTTTTTTTATTAAAATTATAACAACAGCGTACAGTTCAACATAGTTGAGACATTATAAATATAAAATATGTTGTTATTCTCGGGATTCACAAACATTCAACATGACAAGTAAAACATAACAACTAGTCAAAGTATCAGACATGTGCCTCGAGGCTCAGATGTTCTTTTAAACTATTGATGAATGAACTATAGCCCGGCAACTCACGTATATGGACAGGTAATTCATTGAAGACTTTTATAGCCTGTGTAAAAGGATTGTATAATCCTTTGTTCGTTCTTACCATGCTCAGGTGTAAGTCATTTCTACCCCTTGTATTATACTCACAAAACTGGTTGTTGACTAGTAGATCATTGTTGCTTCTGATTCTTTTGTTTTTTATTTCATATGTGTTCTTGCATTACTCAAGTTTAAGTTATTTAATTGGGTGTAGTTTAGCCTGTGAGAATAAATCATTTGTGTGTGTTCGAAATGGAATTTGAAATAAAATTTTTATTGATTTATTTTGTAGCGTTTGAATTTTTTTGAAATTAGTAATGCCACAATTACCCCATATGATTAACAGATACCTAAGATTCGTCAATATATATGCATTGTAAACCAAGTATCTATTATTGAAACTCAAGTAACTGGAACACCTATATAGAGCTCCTAACATTGGTACAATTTTATCATTAATATGTTCTATGTGTCCTGACCAGTTTAACTTATCTTATAAGTCCCAAGTATTTGGGACTTATGAGTCCCAAATACTTGGTTTTCGCAACATTCATTAAGGGTAAGTTATTTATTCCTAATTCAATATTTCCACGAATTCTATTTTTTTGTTTAAATAGCATGTAAACGGTTTTTGCAAAGTTCACCTTAAGTTTATTATGTGCAATCCAATTTGAGTATTTAGAGAGATCTTCATTACCTGTGTTCTTCAGTAAATGTAAATCATATCCACTGTACAAAAGGACCGTGTCATCGACGAACGTGAAATACCTTCCTTTAAGCCCGGCCGTCCTCAGTGACAGTGAATATGGATAACATTATGAGAAAAAAAAACACAATTAATTCATAAAATCATGACCTTATGTCACGGAATGAGTTTGATCTACTCATGTCATCGATGATATTGTTATAGCATTCATTCGCTTATTTGATTAAATCCCAGCTAAAGCAATCTTGTTTAAATTGAAAGGGGTATATTTTTAGGAGAGGTTAATTTTTTGGGAAAGAAAGGTTTTGGCTTTCCACTGCTCCATCTTGATATGATAAAATGTGGGAATCTTCCAAAGAAAGAAAGGAAGCAATCAATTTCAAAAAGTTATTCTATACAATTATGAACCTGCTAGAACATCTTCAGATCATCTGCAAACATGGGAAATGAACAATGGGCAGAAACAGTGATGTCACATCATTGATAATTAAATATAAATTAGATATAGATAACATCAATGAAGTCCTCTTAGAATATACCAAAGAATTCATCCATTTAAAAAGTATATAACTCGTATAGATTTTTATGGACACCCTGTATTTGAAAATAATTTTGAACATAGTCACAAATGATCTGCATATTTGTCTATTGCATTTGTATTTGTATTGAAAATGAAAACTATGAAATTACTTTGTCTTTAACCGGGAAAAGTTGAAATTGTTCTTGTTTGCAATTGTACTTTTTTAATGTACCTATTATTCAATTTCAGGTTCTCGATAGAGTTAGATAAATCAAGAGAATTAGAAATTGGAGTTTACTGGAGAGACTGGAGATCTCTTTGCGGTGTGAAGTTTCTAAAATTAGAGGAGTTCATAGATGATGAGAGGCATGGCATGGCTCTACATTTGGAACCTCGGGGGCTACTATTTGCTGAGGTAATATATATTTTCAAATTATTAGTCACTGCAAAACTAATTGTTTTTGAAAATTCTCAATATATGATTCTTTCAGATCAAATTTTTGAATCCAATGATTTCCAAGAGGCCCAAACTTCAGAGACAGAAGAGAATTTTCAAACAAGGTTTGCCCAGGGCTAAACAGATGAATATCAATATTGTGACCTGGGGAAGATGGATGAAGCAAGCTTCAAGGATGCCTAGTAGGCAGAATTTGGTCTTGAGTTCTACTGAAAACATTTCTGTAAGTAATTGCTGAATATAAAGGCAATAAAAAAAACATTGAAACTACTTCACACTGGTTCCTTTTGTAATTATGTATATGGGATGTTTATATTTGTTGCATTGTACAGGACGATTTGGTTATTGAAGACAAACCAGAGACACCAGGTGAGACACCTGATCCTCAGGCAGGCGGTCTTGGGGGCCAAAGGCCTTTGGGACTAGTTATTGATATGACACCTCAAGACTCAACATCTCCTGCCATACCACCTGTTCCTCCACCAGTAGCAAAGAAGAGGATGGCAGTTACACCCCCGCCCGTTCCACCTCGACTTGATCCTGAAGTAAGTATTAGCTATTATTTTTTTAAATTACTTAAATGACTTAGTTGACTTATTTCGGTTGCATGGCACATGTATGAAGATCTATTGTCTGTACTGTATTTTTAAATTTATTCTCACACCATAATTTTGAGTCAATTTTGTACTCTATTTTTTCTCTTCAATTAAAGGGGATATTGTGATTTCTGTTAGCTTATGGTTGAGTTGGAAGAAATTTTTTTCAAATAGGACTAAGCCATAATAATTTTATTTTAATTTTAAGCCTATTTCGAACTCTTTCTTTCCCCAATGTACCAGTTTTTAGCTGCATAACATTGAACATTTGAGTTTTTACCTCAGTCACAGACAGTTAAGCAGAAAAACTGTTTCTTTGGGTTATTCTTTAGTATGGGAAAATTGTGACACCGAGATTGCACGTTTCTTGCTTCGATGTTAGAAATCAAGACACTTGAGAATTTTGATTTCATCTTGTGGAAGATCTCCGATTACCCTAACTGAATCTCTTAATACATAACATATTCATTTCTTTTTAAAAATTTTCAATTTTCAGTAATTTTATACTCATTTTTGGGGTTCTGAAATATTGCTTAATTTTTCATTAAAAAAGTGATATCTCTAGGAGTACCTAATACAAATAGTTTTTATTTTAGCAAGGTTCTGAGCAGTCAACATTCTCTCCTAATTTTAAACTTGAAAAAAAAAATTTTTGTTGGCTTTTGGAGAGTAATTAGTGTTCATGAGATTGGAGTGAAGTTGGGCTGAAGAGTTTGTAAGCTAATATAGATTTTTTTTCATAAAATTTGATTGTTTTATTCAATATAGTTGCCTTCGAGGGCTTTTAAATCTGTTTTTTCGTTAACCAGCTGTTGCCCCCCTCAAAAGTCGAAACTTGTGCGAGCTAAGGACTAACAAGGTCTTACCTTTTAAGGTGTGTTTCCTAGCTCAGGTTGGACGATAGGAAGTGAAAATCGATTATCTGGCCTCTCGGCCTGAACCATCAGTACACACAGTGGTTGAATGAGTGAGTGGAGCAAACCACCTACATCAACCCGACCGGCTACCGTCCCACCAGTGATCATACAACTTTTCAATATCAGTTTCATAGTACGATTTGTCTATAGCCTCAAAATAGGCCTCAGTTTCGACGATTACCTCTACATCAGCACCAAAGTTCTTTCCAGCGAGTATTCTCTTGAGGTCTGAGAACAGGAAAAAGTCGCTGGGGCCAGATTTGTGACACGGCATATTATCTTGATGAAACAGCACTTTGTTTTTCTTATGAATAGGGCCGTTTTTCCGGGATTTCGTCCTTCAAGCGCTCTAATAACGCTATGTAATAGTGTCTGTTTATGGTTTTTGCCTTTTCAAGATAGTCAATGAATATTATACCGTGAGCATCCCAAAATACTGATACCATAACCTTGTCAGCTGTTGCGTTTTTGCACGCTTTGGAGTGACGATTGTTTTGATTCCAATGTAAAATGATGGAGTCATGTTCATCCATTGTCACATATCGACGCATAAATTAGGGTTTTTTATGGTGGAACAGCTACAAACGCTGCTCAGAATCATCAATTCGTTGTTGTTTTTGGTCGATTGTGAGCTCGCCCGGTATCCACTTTGAACAGAGCTTTCGCATACCCAAATATTCATGTACGATATATCCAACACGTTTCTTTAGAATCTTTAGAACCTTAGCTATCTTGATCAATTTCACTTTGCGGTCATCCAAAATTATTTTGTGCTGCGTGCTTTCTACTCAGTGCTCATTTCACCTCGTTCAAACTTAACAAACCATTTCTCAACGTTTGATTTTCCTGGTGCAAAATCCGAATAATGTTCATCAAGCCAAGCCTTGGCTTCAACAGTATTCATTTTCGCCAAAAAGCAATGCCTTATTTACACATGAAATTCCTTTTGATCCGTTTTTTTTTTCAATCTTACAATAGTTGCTTTACTCAAAATGTTCTATCACACAAACTTCCGACAGCTGTGAAATTTGTACATGTATCCTTTGAAAGTTAATACTAGTAGCCCATTTGTGTGTTAGTCTGCGAATTTTTCAGCCCATCTAGTATTACTGATGAAATATCTTTTTATCTGAAACAACATTGCAGTTTTACTTTTTATGTGCATATTACTATAACTACTGGATAGTTATTTGTCAGTGGGGATTTAACTGGTTCAGAACCATCACATCTCAAGTACAGTTCTGAATTGGTTTCAAACATAGAAGTTTCCTCAAACACTCAATAATATTATATCCTCATAAAATATTATGAGGTAGTTTTCTGTTATTCGCCGGAGCTCTCTTACAACTTTTCTATCAGTTGAATTAACGAAATCTTTTCCTCAAAAATCCTCAGAAAGAGCTTCAATTTTGATAAATCTTTGATTTTTTTTTAAGTTTTATTTGAAATCAGAAACATTTTGAAGCGGGAACCGAATTATTTGGAGTTTTTTTCATATATTAATATAAAAACAGTACATTAGATATTCTTGTGAGTTTAATTGTTTTTGATAGATGCAATAATGATGGAACTAAGGCACCTGAGAGAAATTGTACGATATATCCAATCAATAGTTAATTAAAGAATGCAGACATCTTAGTAAACTGAAGAAAAATGTTAAGGAATCAGAAAAAAATTTGGCTTTTCATAATACAAGGAAAATATTGTGTTGCAAATTTCAAAAATTATCATAATATATGAATCATGAGAAGAAGTCCTAAAGAAAATTATTATTTGTATTCTGACAATGTACTCTCTACACAACTGCTAAACACTTGAGTGAATTGTGATAGCATCAGCTTTAAAGAATAAGAGCGAGAAGTTTATTCAGAGTTATACTGAATAGAGAAATTGATCCGGAATGATAAAATAAGTAGGGACTTACTCAACAGGAATTGAAATGGTTTGAAGTAATTTATTGCTAGACCATTCGCAAGCAAATGCTTATTTAGTATTAGATGCTGTAACACTATTCCAGCTACATTTAGATTCGAACAAAAAATGTGGAGTTCTTTCATTAGACCTAAAAAAAGCATTTGATAATTGAACCATAAAATTCTTCTGAAAATAATGCATAATATAGGTATCCAAGGATTAGTTCATAATCGGTTTCAAAATTATTTATTGAATAGAAAGCAATTCATCTATCTATATGGGCGACAGAACTAGTAAAAAAAATGTAGAGTACTGCAAGAAATAATACTTGGACCTGTTTTGTTTCCTGTATATTTTAATTCTTAGGCTATAGTAAATTTATTTGGTAAATAACAAATGTTTGCTGATGTCACCACTTTAGTTTACAATGGAAATAATGTACAGTAAATTAAAATTAATATTTCAAAAGACCTTGATAAAATATCATTATGGCTTCATTGCTATAAAATATCATTTTCAGAAATCTTCGTATATCCTTATATTAGAAAGGTTTACACCAATTCATTCAAAAGATCCAATTAAATTCCATTGGTCTCATTCTAAATGAAAATTTATCATGGAGACAGCATATTGAAACCATAGAAGGAAAATAGTTCCCATAATTGGAATTTCATTCAGAATAAGATATTTTGTTTCTTTAAAATCTCTCTGAAAGCACTAACAACTCATTTCATAACCTCCAGCAGAGGATGCAGCAAAATATATTTAAAAGTGTTACCTGCAAGTCTAACAGTATGAAAAAATACTCTGATACTTCCTGATGAGAGGTTGTCAAAAAGATAACTTCAAAACCAATCAAAAGAATCAATCTGCAGCTGTTTTCGATGTCCTTTTCAAATAGTCAATTAAAGTATAACTTATATATATCTACGATTTCTCTCAGATACTCTAGTATCGTCATCATTATAACCATTAAAAACAACTTTAATTAATTGATTTTAATCATTAAAAACAATATCTAATGTACTGTTATATTATTTAATATATGATTGTTTCTCCAAAAAAGCCAGACAAAACTGCATTCCATATATGAATATCATGCATATCGTTCAAACAATATAAATAGTTCTGTTTCTGCTTCAAAAGGTTTTCGATTTCATATGATATAAAAAAAACATCAAAATCATAGCTGTTTCTGAGGACTTCATAATATTACATATTCTTTAACGTAAACTATAGAAAGAAATTACAGTGCTAGAAACTTCGAAATATTCAAGTAGCATGTGTGATGGACAAAATGATGTTATTAGAATAATTTGAAAAATTGAATATAACCCTACTTGGAATACTTTTATATTTCATTAGTTTTAACTTTAATATCATAGGTAGACACAGAATCTCTAGTGTAAAATGAATCTAATGAATACTCCTTAAACCAGCACTGTGTCTCTAAAATGTGGAATGCCTTACATGCCATATTTTGGGGAGAAAATTTATTAGTTAAGATATTTGAAAATTTTTTCATTAGATTCATTAGATGTATATATTCCATTGTGGGCATTCCTTCCTATAGAGGTATAGTGGCCGGAGAAAATTTACACTATGGATCAGAATGTTGCACCAAAAATTAGCATGCACCTATTTCAAATATGCACAGTAATATTTTGAATCTCTTTGTACACTTGGAGGCGGGTACACAATCTAGATATTTTTCTTTGCCTTGCAGAGTGTGGCAGCACTGAAGGAATTTGATTTTCTGGAGGAACAGGAGATGTCTAGACCAGGACCTCTTCTGATTCCTTCAGCACCTTCTACGCCTATAGTTCCTCCCGAACAGTTGGTACCACCTAGTCCCCAGCCTGTTATAGAATTTCCAGATGATGAGGTAGACAATGTTTCAAATTATACTTCAGCAGAAATGAAAAATGATTTTTTATAACTTTGCGAAAAAGATTCATCCTTTTCAAGCATGTTATCTATCTTGATATTTTTCTGAAAATAGTCAATACTTTGCCCAAACCTTTAAAAAGTTTTAATTGTCATTGAAATTTAGAATTTATAAAAACACCCTTCCTCATTAAGAATAATCTTTTCAGGTTCTATTATATATTGTCTTTATTATCACAAGAAACGTTAAATGTTTATGAATTTAACTAAATCAACTAAAGATACAAATTTAACAAAATAATGAAATATTGAACAAAAAAACACAAGTAATTAATATGAGTCAACATTGAGTTTGTGAATATGTATTAAAAAATAAAATAAAAACTTATAAATAATTAAATAAGAAAACACAAATCATCCGGATTTAATATAAAAATATTTGAATAATTCTGGCTATATGAAAAGTCATAAGGTTCGAAATAGATGAACACTTCAGTCTAGCAGACCACTATTATAATCTTCATGCAGTCGTTGTTCACTGTGGTTCTGGTGTTGAATATGGCCATTATTACGCATTGGTTAAAGACGAAACAGATTTGGCGATAGTTGTGTCACTAAGTGTTCTGGCGATGTCTTAAATTTACTGGAGCCTCTGGAGATACCCTACATTTTATTTTACGAAAGAGAGGACATTAGCAAATCAAGATCTTCAGATGATCTGGTGCTGCAGGTTTTTCCGGGTTTTCCTGCAGCTGGAAAAAGCAAATGTGCCACTGGAATCAATGAAGTCGCTCCGAAGCGCCAATTAATTTTTGTTGTTTCATAATTTCATGATTTGTATTACTTTCTTCTTCAATATAAATGTTTTATAATTGTAAATTTGACTTAAATTTTGTATTCCTGATTTTTTGTTTGAGTTATTATTATTATTTTTACTTATGTTAACCATTTCCAGAAATAGCCTTTTGACTTATTTTCAATTGCTAAAATTTTTGTATTTTCATATTCCGTAACATGATCTAAAGAGATAACATGTTCAGTCAGTCTTTTTTTTTTGGTACCTTGGGAGCTGTCTGACTTGTCCATTTAGTCCAAGTCTCCAGAAAACAGTGCAGCCTCTTGGGCTTATTGCGTTTATTCTCCCATCTTCTCATGACACCCATTCCATCAGTCTCATTCCCTGTACAGTCTACAAGAACGTTTATTGAGTCTGCCATCACTTTATGTAACGCGATTCTTCCAGATAGTTTATGACTAGTCTCACCAAAGTAAATCGAATTTTTAAAAAAATGCCAAAACAATTCATATTATAAAAAAATTGTTACACTTCTGAAGAATTCCTCAACTAGAACTTGAAGTTTTTTCTTTTTCTAATCTGTGTGACTGTTTATAAATCATTTATTGTATATTGTATATATACAGTTATATATAATATATTATGTAATGAGCCCATTGACGTCTTTCACAATAATTTTGTAATAGTGTACATTTAACACATTTGCATCATTGTGTATAACCTTATTGATTGAAATAAACTGGTATTATTATTATTATAACATGGAATACTTAGTATTCCATGTTCTTTTTGTTCATAAAAGCGACTGCAGACTCAATAAACGTTCTGGTAGACTGGCTGAACATGTTATCTCTTCAGATCATGTTATGGATTATGAAAATACAAAAATTTTAGCAGTTGAAAATAATAAAGTCGAAAGGTTATTTCTGGAAATGGTTTACATAAGTAAAAATAATAATAACCCAAACAAAAAATCAGGAATACAAAAATTTAAGTCAAATTTACAATTATATTTTAACTTTTGATCAACAAAATTGAACAAATAACTTCAATATAACAAGAAAAATTATAGATCACTAATAATTCTTCACTCACATTCAAATCTCACTATATGCAAATATCATATTAATCACATTTTCTCTGATGTTGTAACAACATTTTCAACGTCACATTTGCATTTGACTTTTCAATTTTGAATGTTTGGATTTCTATGTCTTTTTTATATTTCAAACTAACTTTGGTGGGTCTTTTGTAAAATTGTTATTACTATATAATGTTTGCATCACATTTATTTTGTAGATATATTCTTGATTAAGAAAAAAAAATTCCGAAAGCTTGAATAGCAGAAAATAGTGTTCTTATAGCCCGTGGAGAAATTTGACTGAAATACTCAACTAAAAAGTAACATATAGTTTTAAATATATGCCGAACTGATTTTCTCGTTTTGATCCGTGTTCTGTGTTATTATCCTCACTGGGATTGATCTCACGACGTTTTGACAAAGTCTCATTTGTGATCTACTGGCGATTTTTGTTAAGAGTTTCTAAGTCGACAGACCTTACTCGATTGACTTCCTTATATATAGGTAAAATGATGTTTGTTCCATCGTGATAAATCAGTTTCTGTCCTCGATTAGATTTAAAATTACTAACATATCAATGGATGAATATGACATCAATAATGTATTTGAAGGATTGTGATTATCGATCAATAAAGAATAAATTAAATAATTGAATTTCATTCATCTGACAAAATATCATTCAGAATTTTAGTTAGTTTTCTCTTTATGTTGAAAAAAAAATTCTACTTAATTGAACTTTACGAAAATATCATTTTTGCTGAAATATTGTATTTTTCTATTAGTCTTCTCATAGCATGCTGCTTTGTTCAACATATTCTGCAAATATAACTAACTCCATTCAACAGGCTGTGACTAATTTCATAACTAAACATTTCCTAACCTGTACTTTTTTAGATTAGTAACTTATGACATTTCTATTTTTCTATATGAAAGTAGAACACTCATTTGAAGTTATAGGTACAGAAATTGGTAAGTTTTTTAAATCAACATGAAAACATTGTTTAATCATATCAATGGATGGTTATGACTTCGCATTCTATCTTGTGAAAATTTGTAATCATTATAAATAAGAAATGCCTGATTAGTTTGAGCTATGTACACTGTCTGTTCAAAAAATTAGGTGAATTTTTATTTTTTCTAAAAAATATTTATTCATCAATCTCTATTTTCTCCCCTTCAGATGTAATACACTTGTGCCAGCTTTTTTTCCAATCCTCAAAGCAGTTCTGATATGCACTTTTTGGTATGTCCTTAAACTCTCTCAGCGATTCGGTTTTTCACATCATATCTTCTCGACCTTTTGTGAAAAGCTTGTTACTACTTTTAAACATTTTTCCTACTGGAAGTACAATCACCATATAAATTTGATCGAAATTCTTTGATTTTTTTTTTCGATAGCAGGAAATCGCCGAACACGCAAAACACTTCTAAATTTTATGCCTCTCACCAACAAAATTAACATGGTAAACAGCTGAAACTGAACATATATTCGAGACGAGTGTACCAACATTAAAAAATTGCTAATCATGCACATCATTAAATAATTGTAAACCATGCCCTAAAGAAAATAATGCCGGCCGCCAGTGGTAGCCATAAACCAATCGTGACGTGGCTAAGAGCGCGCGAATGTACGATGTTCGCTGCCGCTCTTGATGTTGCGAGAATAATGCTACTGATTTCGATGGAATTTCGGCGAAATTTTCTAGTGCATTCGATTACGATATACAAACGCTAAAGTGCGGTATGCGAAGGAATCCAGTAAGGCGATAGACATTCGAATAATAGTTTAAATTTTTATTTGATGTGTTTGTTTTATTCAAAGTGAAATAAAGTTAAGTTTGATTATTCAGTGTAGCAAATTATTGGTCAACTCACGGGGAAAAACGTAACAGTACGTAGCCCACAAAATTTGAACATTCACTTTATTTTTTGAACAGTCCATGTATGTATAATATTGATACTATTAAACTGAATAGCTGTACATCAGACAGTAATTACTAAATATTTGCTATTATTTCTATTAATGTGGAATTGGAATGTATAATCACTGGCAACGTCTAGGTAGGCGAATTTTGAATCCGCTCAATGTCAACAAGGCGTCTTGGTCCTGTTATCGTACTTGAAAAGTGCGCAAATGAAGTAGCACCAGTGTTTTGTAGACTTTTCAACTTGTCTTTCAAGGAAGGGGTTTTTGCCTTCTTGTTGGAAGATTGCTCGCGTTCACATCTGCTCATGAATAGATTAGCCCAACGTGTTTTTACCTTTGCTGTCTGTAGAATCAGTTGATGAACTGAAAGCAGTTCTGTTCCATCCAGGGTTGAGTTGCTTTTTTTTTTTGAATCACTTAACCGTTTCGACCATTGATTATAAAAAGATCTATCATATATTAGTTTTTCATTAGGGATATATAATAAAATCTAAAGTAACATATTGTCTATCACCTAATTAATATCTTCATCTCCATTTAATCCTGCACAGTAACATATTGATACCATATTCCTTAACCTCATCCTGCATAGCACAATTTAAAAATCGTTCAACAGCTGTGAAAATTTTACTTCTTTCAATGTATGAGTTTCAAAATGTCACATTATTTCAGCCGCAGTATGATGCAGTAAACATTATGCGACGGGCACCTCCTAGAGAACCTTGCCATAGAGACAGTGCCTACGAGTCCAAACGTCAATCGCAGACTATGACCGGAATGACCATCGACCATTTCAGGCTGATAAGCGTATTGGGGCGTGGCCACTTCGGAAAAGTGATCCTGTCGCAGTACAAAAACACCGGTGAATATTTCGCCGTCAAAGCTTTAAAGAAAGGCGATATTATTGCCAGGGACGAGGTCGAGTCCTTACTGTCGGAGAAGCGAATATTCGAAGTTGCCAACTGCATAAGACACCCGTTCCTAGTGAATTTATTTGCATGCTTCCAAACCGAAGCTCACGTTTGTTTCGTGATGGAGTATGCTGCGGGGGGAGATCTGATGATGCACATTCACGCTGATGTATTCAGCGAACCCAGAGCTGTGTTCTATGCTGCCTGCGTTGTCTTAGGATTGCAATACTTACATGAGAACAAAATAATTTACAGAGACTTGAAGTTGGACAATTTGCTTCTGGATACTGAAGGATATGTGAAGATAGCAGATTTCGGTCTATGTAAAGAAGGGATGGGTTTCGGTGATCGAACCGGTACGTTTTGTGGAACGCCGGAATTTTTGGCTCCTGAAGTTTTAACCGAAACTTCGTATACTAGAGCTGTCGACTGGTGGGGACTTGGAGTGTTGATATTCGAAATGCTTGTTGGTGAGGTGAGTTGGAACCTTGTTCATACATTTTCTTCACAGTTAACCATTTTAATTTTAGTCGCCATTCCCTGGGGATGATGAAGAGGAAGTATTTGATTCAATTGTAAATGACGAAGTTCGGTACCCTAGGTTCCTATCACTGGAATCTATTGCCATAATGAGAAGGGTGAGTTATCATTTCAGTCTGTTGAAGCTACTATCATATAATCCTATATTTGTTTATAACGCAAGCTCAAAGAAAATAGCTGAACAGGTGATAAGGGGGTGTGTCAATTCGTTATCCAAATCTGCAATTTGGGATTTGCAGTTATTATTGGCTTATTGCAACCGTTCCCAATTTTAACGAAAATGAAGCTTGTTTTTATTTTGATAGAGATTGCCCTTTAGTATAGCAGAGTATCTGCAGTTTGGCATTTGCAGTTATTATTGGCTTATTGCAACCCTTCCCAATTTTAACGTAAATGAAGCTTGTTTTTATTTTGATAGAGCTTGTCCTTTAGTATAGCAGAGTATAACAACTGGTCACTAATATCAAATGGAAAACAGACAGCAACGTGAATAATTAACTATTGGGACATATAAAAGTATCAGCAATAAATGAAATATGAATTGTTGAAAATAGTAACCCAGATCAAAAAACTTGGGAGTCCTTTAAATGACAAAAAAATTGCAAAATATGTTTTTAAATGTTGAAAACAATCAATTCAAGTTTTGATTTGGTTCGAATTGAGAGTTTTGACATCTTGAATAATTTCATTACAAAGTGTAAGCTCATCATGTAAAATTTTTTGTCCATGGAAGACTTTGCGAGTGTTCTCATGCGGATCAGGATTCTTGTTTTGTATTCATGGATGTCACTATTAACCGTCATTTGCAGTAGCAAATGACGATTATTTGTAGCCCAAAATATTGGGCCTATATTGCGTGAGTTATCCCCACAGAAAAAGCGTAAGGTAAACTTGTTACAAGATAACCTTTTTTGTTATTATCAGAATATACGAGGTCTTAGAACAAAAATGGATGATCTGAATAGAGCACTCCTAATAAGGGATTTAGATATTATTTTAATTACGGAATCCTGGCTGAATAATACTTTTGCTAATTCAGAAATCAGTAACTCTCAATATCTTATTTTTAGAAAAGATCGTGACTACAACAGTACTAACTGTACGCGTGGAGGTGGTGTTATGATAGCAATTAAATCATCCTATAACGCTACAGAAATAAGAGTTTCTGATTCTAATTTGTTTGAGATGTCTGGGTGAAACTTAAGATCAACAACAAATCGATTGTATTGTGTGTCGTTTACTTTGTTCCTGAATCGTCTCTCGATGCATATCAAAGATTTGTTGAGCATATTACCGAGGTGAAAAGACATCACATAGGCGCAAATTTCATTATTGTGGGTGACTTCAACTTTCCTTGAGTTATTTGGTCATATGAGGAACAAGTTTTGATTCCAGAGTATTTACCTGACCAGCGTGTAGAATTTCTGCTCGACGAACTCCCGTTTATGGGCTTTCAGCAATATAATGGTGTTAAAAATGTTAAAGATGAAATTTTGTACTTAGTTTTCTCTGATGAAATTTCAATTGACGTAAGACTTTCTGATACTACACTGCTCAATAATTTTCCAGCAGATGCATATCACCCTCCACTCCAGCTTAAATTAGATTTTGAGAATATGTTACAGCCTACGTTCAGATATAGAGAAAAAGTGTTTTTATTTCATAAAGGTGATTACGAAGGGCTGAATAGCTACTTAAGCGACATTAATTGGTCTTCTAAGCTTAATTCGGAAATTGAGTTAGCAGTTTTATCCTTTTATGAAATTTTATTTGAAGGTTTTACTCGATTTGTGCCACAGCGATATATAACTAGTTCAAAGTATCCTAAATGGTACAGTTCCTTTCTGATTCAACTTATAAAAAAAAAGAACTCCTTATTCAAGAAATTCAAAAAAACTAAATTGGATTGTGATTACAAAGAATACTCCAAGTTGCGCAAGGAAACCAAGTATCATATAGATAAATGTTACCTGCTATATCTATCTAATATAGAAAATATGATCCCTACTAACATCAAATATTTCTGGTCATTTTTCAATTCATTGAGGAAAGATAAAGGGTTACCTACTATTATGACATATAATGGGTTGAACTTTGACACCCCTAAAACTATTGCCGATGCTTTTGCGGTACATTTCAAATCTTGCTTTTCGATTCATTCACCTGTTCAAAATTATGTACCAGTCCATACCAATTACGATATTAACACCAACCAGTAAT